ACAGGCATAAGATGATACAAAAACGAGTGAGATTCAAAGACCAGGAGCTTATCATCTCTCCCGTGTCATCTTCGGAAGCAACTAAACACTAACACTTCTAGAAATACCAACCTTCACATATTATGGAAGAAATATTTTTCACAAAATAATAATCAAAATAGATATTACTTCTAAGTTATTTCAAAGAAAGAATATTCTTATATAAGTTTTATATGAAAACTTCAAAGTAGCTTCACTGTCACAGAGAAACAAGGCAGCAATTCCATACCCTTCTTTTTAAGAAACACTATTTTGTAAGCGATATCCCATGTCCTGAAGTATCCATGAGGCATGACACAGATCATAACCTATGAAGGTACCCTAATATGGTTAACCTATGACCCCAACAGTGACTATCTAAGTAAGCAGCCACAAGTGCATTGGGAAGAGCTGCAACCACAGGTGAATTGCGAAGACGCTTACCTGTGGAGCCTTTTGTTATCACACAGATTGCAGGTGTTGAGGCAGGGTGCACCCCAGTCCTACTCAATCCATCTCCAGATTACACAGCCTAAGAATATGTATTTTTCAATCGTACCAAAGATGATTCTTACATTTAGATTAAGAATCAGTGGGCTAAAAAAAAAAGGTATTTTTAAAATATTTTTCCATTAATTTCAATAATACTTGCTGAAATATTTAGCCACTCAAGTATGTGAACTTGGCTGCTTTCCTACTAAGTAGAATGTCTCTCTAAAAAGCCACAGTGCTTTGCATGTTTCTGAGCAACAAAATTATCAGATTGTATTCAGGAATCCCCAGATGGAGTCTTGCCTGCTCTGGTGCTTTATTTTCCCTCATTTAGGGAATGAGTACTATTATTTGCAGTCTGACTCATGCTACAAATAATTTAGTCTTGAAGCAGTGAAGAAACGGGATTTAAATGAAAGATCCTAGAGGCAAAGTGACAAGCTAAGTGGCTACAGCAAAAGGTTAAGTGGGAGAAAATAAAAGCCTGAGTTTGATCTTAGATGTTGAATTTAGAATATTCTTGGAGATTAAATGTGGACATGTTTCATGAGTGGTTAGAAAGTTGGGATCTGAAGTTCAAATAAGATGGGGCAATGCCTCTAGTTGCTCTGAGTGAACAGGAGTTATGAGAACCAGAAAATGTATGAACCTCCACACATACCACATATGAAATAAGGTAGGCAAGGACAGAGCCTCAGGAATGCTTGTGGCTGGGGAAATGTAAGGAAATATGAAGCAGTAAAAGGGACTCTAGCAGAAATGTAAGCACCATCGGAGCAGGGATTTGTCTGCCTTATTCACTGCGATAGCCCCAACACCTGCAAAGTACCTGACTCATAATACCTGCTCAGTAAGTATCTGTTGAATAAACAGTCCAAGAGATAGGCAGCAAGCCAAGAGTATAAAGAAATGGCGAAGGAAGAGTTTCAAGGAAGGAGAAGTCAAACTGTCCGGTACTGCAGAGGTGCAGAATGAGAACTGAGAAAGGGCCCTTGGATTTGCACACCTGGATTTTGTCACTCAGGATCTTTGTGAGAAGAATTTCAGTGAAATGGGAAGGGCAGAAACTGACAACAAAGATTTAAGGAGAAAATGTGTGGCGACAAAGCAGAGATGGCAAATACAGATACTGCTTTCAAGACATTTAGCAACAAAGAGAAAGAGGAAATTGTTGTACAGTAGCTTGGAAAGAAAACTAAGTTAAAGGAAGATTTTAGTATGTTTGCAAGCTTACAGTCAAGCAAGTAGAAAGGAAAAGGCTGAAAGCACGAAAGGAAACAAAAGACACGAAAGGTTGACAGTGATGAGTCCAAGTATGAGAGAAAAAAGGAGAAGCAATCAAGGGGACCTGGAGAACGGTTAAGCCTTGATAAGTAGATGGGACAATTCTGATATATCCCAAATTGTAAAAGTATAACTAGCATTCTGATGTATAAAACAATCTCTTGTAATTTAGCATTACCTCAAACTGATTTCCTGAAGGAACTAAACTCAGTCTCTGAATCAACAAGCAAAGAACTACTAGACCCTAAATCCAACCAATCACAATAACAAAATTCTTTCAAAGGCCAGAAACATTTTAATTCTATGTTGAAACACAGGCCAAACACTGCTATGTAAATCGCCTAAAATGAATCATGCTAATTTGTCTGTCTAGATCCCACAATAACATTCATGTTAAAGACAGTATTCAGCAGATTCCCTCTGTCTATAATCCCTGACTCTATTATTGTTTGATCTAGAAGGTTGCCAATATTCCACATATCAAATATAACAAAGCAGAAAAGTTCTGTTCTCACTCAGAACCTAAAACACAGCATGAGGTTGCCACCAATCTACTACCAAACCACAAGGTCTGAAAACCAAAGGCCTCTATTCAAGGCCAACATACTTTATCAGAATCTAGGAAGACCACTACAAAGCCACCTTCACAACACTTCCAAATTTCCAACCTATCTGCTTCACACCATCTCTGGCCCAGCCTTGGAAATGCTGGTTGTGATATATGTCGGAAAGAGAAATAGAAGGAGAAATGGAAAAGTACATCTTTCTCACATCCATAGCACGTTGCGACCTAGATGTGTACTGCTGCTTCTTGCTGCTGTTTCTGATTACCCATGTGTGCTTGAAAAGAAAACGTTAGATGAGGGTTCTATGTATGTTCAATAGATAAGACCTGTGCATTTGTACTGTTCAAAATCTATACTCTTACTAATTGTCATCTTAATTTCTGAATCTCCTGTTATGATTGCAGAATCTTCCATGTCTCCTTGTAATTCTGTCAAATGCTTTGAGTATATTGTGTTAAATGCACAGAGGTTAAGGACTCCCAAATTTTCCTGAAGAATAAATTGTTCCTTTTACCATTAGCTATTGACACTTGTTTGCTAATTAAGATTATGACTTAAAGATTAATTTTATAATATTAATCAGTTATTTTGATTTGTATTTTCCTGCTATATCTCTTCCTTCTTTTTCTTTCAACCTTCCTATGTCATTACATTTTAGGTATACCACTCACAAACAGAACATACCTGAATTGTTCAATCTGAGAATTTTTATCTTTCCATTTACATCTATTATGAACACTGATATATTTGTATTCACACCTATCACCTTATTTTGTGATCCCTATTTACCAAGATTTTCATCTACTCCTTTTTTCTGCATGAACTTACTTTGCAGAACTCCCACTTATACCGTGTCTACCACATACATGCACATACATACTCAGCTACATACATTTTCAACTAAAGCATTTGACAGAAGGTACCCCCTTGTCTGCATTGCACTGGAAGTGGTGCAGACAAGGGGGTATATTTTCTGTACAGAATTTAAAAACAATAGCACAGTCAACTGAAGATAAGTCTGCTTTTTATTACCACCATTTGCTGGCAATTCTAAAAATGTCAGTTTAGAAATTTGTTGTTTGCTATGTTTAGTGCTGACCCTTGATAATAGATATGTAAGCTTAAAATTAGCATATTTTTATTACTTATCTTTTAATAAACATTGTATTCTACATGAACTTACTGTGGAGAACTCCCAGTTATACCGTGTCTACTACATACATGCACATACATACTCAGCTACACACATTTTCAAATAATGCTTTTAATGGTTCAGATTCATTCAAGCTTACTTGAAGAGCAGTTTCACATCTCCAATCACTGCTGCACTACATGCTTCTGCATTTAAATAGCAGATTCAAAATAAACAATGATTATTAAGATAAAGAAACAAAACCTGAGTATCTTCCATTCTCCTATTCTCTGAATGCCAGGAGAAAAAACAAAAGATGGTAGACTAAGTTGGCAGAAGAATTCAAAAAGGCAATGTTTGAACACCTCAATTGTTTTCATCAAAAACATTCTAAGGCAACATTTAATGACAATATTTGTCATTATTTAGCCATTTTCTCTGATTTTTACAGAAGAAAACTTTAGAAGTCATTACGAAATATATCAGAAAATGATGAATTTTCCGGAAAAAAGATTTTAGTGAAAATATTTCAAGAACAGAGATATTTAAAAGTCACTAGAATTAATATCAAAGGAAAAAAGATATGCTCAACACTGCAGTTTCGGGAACTTATTGCACAATAAGATTTTTAACGAAACTGCCAAATTTATCCTTATGTTGCTCTTTTTATAATTTTACATACACAGGTGTGCATGTGTATATACATATATAACAGTCATTTCATGTGAAAAAAAGTTTCAAAATTAAAATTAAAAGCTTCTTTTGACCAACTATGAACAACTATAGATTGACAAATTTCATATATTGTGTACTGAACATGAATATGCAAAGAATGTCCATTCTGAGAAGTCATTGACAGATTTGTAAAAGTTTAATTTCTTTTCTGACCATTATTATTTGTTCCATTTCGTAATTATTTACTGAAAATAATCTGTCACACAGAGGAGGGTAGTATTTAAAAATTATCCATTCCAGATGTCAAATACAGGAAGTATACCAATGGTTTTATTTTATATTTTTTCTTTTTACTATTTTGGAGTTTATATCATTTATTTCTATTTTTTGGGCAGTTACTCTTAAAACCGTAACGTGCACACAACAATCTAAATTTAATAACCCTAGCCCCCTCCCAAATAATACAAGGACGTCAAAACGAATGAACTGATTCTACTCTCCCATCTTCCACATTACTGTTCACAATAATTTTAGATCCAGTTTGTTTTTAAATCCCCCCAAATTTATTCATCAACACCATTATTTACTCTGAATGCTTACGTTGATTTAACAAAATGTTTAATTTTTTTAATACATTGCTTCCTGCTCTCCAATTATTATTTTTGATTTCTGTTTCCTTGTTGCTGAAGCACATTCTCTAGAAGTCTTTCAACAAGGGCTGTCAGCCATAAATTCAGATTTTTTTTTTTAATTTGCTCTTATTCATGAATAACAGTTTAGCAGAGAACTGATCTGTACACTACCCTAAGACACTACCTCACTGAAATACTTACATCCTCCTCTTCTGAATCACCGTCATCATCATCATCTTCTTCCACTTCTTCAAAAGGAGGTGGAGGTAAAGGACCGATGATTTCTTCCTCCATATGACTAACTGGTTCTTCCACCATTTTAAGGGGTAAAGGAGGGCCAATTAACTCATCATCAGAAGAATCAGAAGTCTCTTCACTTTCACTGCTGCTTGTATCCCTGAAAACACAGAAACAAACTCTTTGTCTCCACTGCCACAAAGAGCACAATCTAGAGAGAGTACTGATTTCTCAGGTACTGCCTCTCCTTTTAACTGAGTTTTTAAAATGTTTTCAAATTTGTGATTCAAGCATTAAATATGTAAATCAAATATTTTATCTTAAGAAAGTAAAAAACTTCTTTTATATACTTATCTTACCTAAACATAAATTAAAGTCAGATGAAAGGTCACAGCAATTATACTTTAGACCCCCATTAGATCATCCTCACTTACTGGAATGTGCAAGAAAAACTACAAAACACTACATCCATAAGAAAGAAAACCACGGAGATACCCAATGCCTCTATGTACTACATTTGAATCCAATCGCTGTTTGCCACAGGAGCAAATAAAGCCTGCCATGTAAGAAAGTTAATATCACTCTCAAAATGCTTCAATATGTTTTCTGAAATACAAATTATTTCTCAGTGCTAATCCAAGGTTGCCGAATTGCTGAAATGTTAAATGTAGCATTCCTACTACTCAGCCATAAAAAATGATAAAGTTGTCCCATTCACAACATAGATGGACCCGGAGGGTATTATGTTAAGCGAAATAATCAAGAAGGAGAAAGACCAGCAGCATATGATGTTACTCATAAGTAGAAGATAAACAAACACATGGACAAAGAGAACAGATTAGTGGTTTCCAGGGGGAAGGGGGGAGGGAGGTGGGCACGAAGAGTGAAGGGGCACACCTATACGACGACTGACAAATAATAATGTACAACTGAAATTTCACAATGTTGTAAACTATCATAACCTCAATAAAAAAAAAACGTTAAATGTAGCATTCCTGCTTTCTAAAAATATCTTACTCTAGGGAGTATCATAGGGATTCTCAACTTTTTTTCTATCCAACACAGTGAGGACTATTACACACCCTCATTAAGGTCTTTATCAAACCCCTCTAGGCATTCTGAAAGCCATCACCATCCACCATCCTTCCACTTCCCACCCCACAGGGTTAAGAATTGCATTCCTAATGATGTCACTTAATCTATCAAATATTTTATCAAGTTATCAAATATTTTATAGCCTTCTAATAAAGTATTCCTAGTATATAAACTCCATGAAAGCAGAAATTTCTGTCTGTCATGATCATTGCTGTGTCTCTAGCAGCCAAATGATGCCTGACCTAGCATCTAAATGATATAATAGGCACTCCATATCTATTGAAGAAAATATGGGATATTTATTTTTATTTTCATCTAGGTTTAATATTGAAAAGAATATATTCTCACATACATATTATCCTTTTGCAAAGGTAGGAGGTAGCAAACCTCCATAAACAGTTTCTCTTTGTTTTTGCAATTGTCTCACTCACTCTGCTCCAGCACCAAAGGCATTTCTAACTGAACAAGTCAGGCTTGGTTCAGCATGAGGGTCCAGCATGAGCACCTGCAGTCCCTCTGCTGGAATTGATTGTTATATGGCCTCTTTTTCATCATTCAGGTCTCGTCAATTGTCACCTCTTCAAACAGGCCTTCAGGGCCGCCCCCTTTCTAAACTTTCACACACTCCCATCAGTCACCATTACCTTAATTAGCTTACTTTGATTATCCTTATTACCTACATTACGAAATTATCTTATTTGATTGGTTACTTAGTTGTTTATAATCTGTTATCCTTCCTCTCAAATATCCCTACAACAATATAAGCTCAGAGATCTCATCTGATTTGTTAGTTGTTGTATCCCCAGTGCCTAAAGAAGTGCCTACCCCACAACAGATGTTCAATAAATAATAGCTAAATGACTGAATAAATTTTCCTTAAAGTAAAGTATTCACACTCCCAAATTTTCTCCCTTGTGATTAAATCACAAATTTCTGAATGCATTGGTTCAGAAGTCACAAGCTTTCTTTTTTTTTATTGAAGTAACATTGGATTATAACATTATATAGCTTTCAGATGTACATCGTAATATATTTCGAATTCTGTGTAGATTATATCATGTTCACCACCCAAAAACTAATTATAGTCCATCCCCTCACATGTGAGCTTAATCACCCCTTTTGCCCTCCCCCCCCTTCCCCATGGTAACCACCAATCCAATCTCCATTGCTACATGTTTGTTTGTCATTGTTTTTATCTTCTACTTATGAGTGAGATCATACGGTATTTGACTTTCTCCCTCTGACTTATTTCACTTAGCATAATACCCTCAAGGTCCATCCATGTTGTCACAAATGGCCAGATTTCACCATTTCTTATGGCTGAGTAGTATTCCATTATGTATATATACCACATCTTCTTTATCCATCTGTCCCTTGATGGGCACCTAGGTTGTCTCCAAGTCTTGGCTATTGTGAATGATGCTGCAATGAACATAGGGGTACATGTATTTTTATGCATTTGTGTTTTCAAGTTATTTGGATAAATACCCAGCGGTGGGAGAGCTGGATCATATGGTAGATCTATTCTTAATTTTCTGAGGATACTCCATACTGCTTTCCATAGTGGCTGCACCAGTTTGCACTCCCACCACATCCTCTCCAACACTTGCTGTTTCCTATCTTGTTAATTATAGCCATTCTGACCAAAGTGACGTGATATGTCACTGTAGTTTTGATTTGCATTTCCCTGACAGCTAATGATGTTGAGCATCTTTTCATATGCCTGTTGGCCATGTGTATATCTTCTTTGGAGAAATCTCTGTTCAGATCTTTTGCCCATTTTTTAATTGGGTTGTTGGTTTTTTTGTTGTTGAGATGTATGAGTTCTTTGTATATCTTGGATATTAACCCCTTATCTGATATACGGTTTGCAAATATCTTCTCCCAATTGTTAGGTTGTCTTTTCATTTTGTTGATGGTTTCCTTTGCTGTGCAGAAGCTTTTTAGTGTGATGTAGTCCCATTTGTTCATTATTTCTTTTGCTTCCCTTGCCCAGTCAGACATGGGACTCAAAAATATGCTGCCAAGACTGATGTCAAAGAGCGTACTGCCTATGTTTTCCTCTAGAAGTTTCACGGTTTCGCGTCTTACATTCAAGTCTTTAATCCATTTTGAGTTGATTTTTGTGCATGGTGTAAGGGAATGGTCTACTTTCATTCTTTTACATGTGGCTGTCCAGTTTTCCCAACACCATTTACTGAAGAGACAAATGGCCAATAAGTACATCAAAAGATGCTCACCATCATTAGACATTAGGAAAATGAAAATAAAAACCAAAATGAGATACCATTTCACACCTACTTACGATGGCTACAATCAAAATAAATAAATAGGAAAATAACAAGTGATGGCAAGAATGTGGAGAAACTGGAACCCTCAGACATTACTAGTAGGAATGTAAAATAATGCAGCCACTGTGAAAAACAGTTTGGCAGGTCTTCAAAAAGTTAAACATAAAATTATCCGATGACCCAGAAATTGCATTCCTATGTATACACCCAAAAGAATTAAAAGCAAAGACTCAAACAAATACTTGTATGCCAATGTTCATTGCATTCACAATACCCAAAAGGTGGAAACAACCCAAGTATTCATCAACAAATGAATGGGTAAACAAATCGTGGTATACACGTACAATGGAATACTATTCAGTCATTTAAAGGAACAAAGTTCTGATACAACACAAACCTTGAAAACATTATGTAAAGTGAAACAAGCCAGACACAAAAGGACAAATATTGTATGATTCCACTTATATGAAATATCTAGAATAAGCAAATTCATGAAGACAGAAAGTAGATTAGAGGTTATCAGCAGCTAGAGGAAGAAAAGAGTGGGAAGTTATTGCTTCATGGTTAAAATTTCTGTTTAGAGTGGCAAAAATTTTTGGAAATAGTGATGATGGTTGTACAATATTATAAATGTTATTAATGCCACTGAACTGTACACTTAAAATGTTTAAAATAGTAAATTTTATGTTATAAAAATTTTGGCACAATAGAAAAAATCAAGACAGTAGTAAAAGGATATAATTTAGAAACATGGAGGTAAACAGAAGAAGAAAAAATTTTTTAAATTTAAAATGGTTTCTTCTGGGAAGCAAAAATCACGAACAGAGACATGAGGCTTTACAATGTTTGACTCTGTAATATGAATATATTACTTCAATAAAAATTTAAAAGATCAGTGGTTGCTAGAGGTTAGGAATGAGGGAGGAAGAAATAGGTGGAGCACAGAGGATGTTTAGGGCAGTGAAACTCCTCTCATTGATACTACCATACTAACATTATGCAAAGGCACAAATCAACCCCATCAAACAGTATGAAGAAATACATTAATACTCCAGACCGGAAGGAAAATGACAAGCAGCCAGAAATCAATCCTGAAGGCACAGAAATTTACAGTCTAAATCAGAGAGAATTCAAAATAGCTATCATTAAAAAATTCAATGAGTTATTAAAAAAATTCAGATAGTTCTTTTTTTTTTTAAAGATTTTATTTTTCCTTTTTCTCCCAAAGCCCCCTGGTACATAGTTGTGTATTTTTAGCTGTGTGTCCTTCTAGTTGTGGCATGTGGGATGCTGCCTCAGCATGGCCTGATGAGTGGTGCCATGTCCACGCCCAGGAGTCAAATAGGCTAAACCCTGGGCCGCTGAAGCACAGCGCACGAACTTAACCATTCAGCCACGGGACCTGCCCCAGATAGACAGTTCTATGAAATCAGGAACAAAATTAATGAACAGAGGGAATTCTTCACAAAAAAAGATTGAAACTAAAAAGAAAAACCAACCAGAAGTTTGAGGATAAAATAAAGAAAAATTTGGACTCCCTGAATAACAGAGCTGCTATTATGGAGAGAATAAGCAGTGTAGAGGAGAGAAATATAGAAATGCTTCAGATGGAGAAGGAGAGAGAGATAAGACTAAAAAAATGAAGATATACTCCGAGAAATATCCAACTCAATTAGGAAACGCAACATAAGGATTATAGGTATTCCAGAGGGAGAATGGAGCAGAAAGCTTGTTTAATGAAATAATAGCTGAGAACTTCCCAAACATGGGGGAAAAGCTGGAAATACAAGTGAAAAAAGTTAAAAGAAATCCTAATTATATCAATGTAAAAAGACCTTCTTGGGGTCGGCCCCATGGACAAGTGATTAAGTTCACAAACTCCGCTTCAGTGGCCCAGGGTTTCGCTGGTTCGGATCCTGGGTGAGGACATGGCACTGCTCATCAAGCCATGCTGAGGAAGCATTCCACATAGCACAACCAGAAGGACCTACAACTAGAATACACAACTATGTACTGGGGGTCTTTGGGGAGAAGAAGAAGAAAAAAAAAGAAGAAGATGATTGGCAACAGATGTTAGCTCAAGTGCCAATCTTTAAAAATAAGAAAAATAATAAAAAAGACTTTCTCCGAGGCATATAGTAGTAATACTGGCAAATGTTAGTAAAAAAGAATAAATATTAAGGGCAGAAAGGCAGAAGAAAATAACTTACAAAGGAACCCCTATTAGGCTTTCAGTGGATTTCTCAGCAGAAACCTTACAAGCTAGGAGAGAGCGGAATGATATGTTCAAAATTCTGAAAGATAGAAACTTTCAGAGAAGAATACTCTATCCAGCAAAAAATATCCTTCAGATATGATGGAGAAATAAAAACTTTCTCAGATAAAAAAAGCTGAGGGAGTTCATCACAAGACCCCCCTTACAAGAAATGATCAACAAGGCCCTCATATCTGAAATAAGAAAAAGAAAGAGTTTACAAAGCCTTGAGCAAGGGGATAAACAGGCAGACAAAATCAAAAAAATTGCAGCTCTCTATCAGAACTGGTTAGCAAACAATTATAACATTAAAGATAAAGGGAAGGAAAACATCAAAAATAACGATAATCTCATCATTTTAACCATAAACTCACAACACAGGATGGAATAAGTTGTCACAACAATAACTTAGAAAGGGAAGAAGAAAGGATGGAATCAGCTTAGATGGGAAACAAGAGGCTATCAGAAAATGGACTATCTCATCTACAAGATTTTTTTATACAAACCTCACAGTAACCACTAAACAAATAATCAGAACAGAGACAGAAACGATAAAAAAAAAAAGTGAGAAAACCATCATAGAGAACTACCAAACTGAATTGGTAGTCTGAAATACACAGGATGAGAAACAAAGGAAATACAGAACAATTGGAAAACGAGCGATAAAATGGCAGCATTAAGCCCTCACCTATCAATAATCACTCTAAATGTAAATGGAATGAATTCTCCAATAAAAAGACAAGGAGTGGCAGGATTGATTAACAAACAAGACTCAACAATACACTGCCTCCAGGAAACACATCTCAGCTCTAAAGATGAACACAGGCTTACAGTGAAGGAAGATGATACTCCAAGCTAATGGCAAACAATAGAAAGCAGGTGTCACAATACTTATATTAGAGAAAGCAGACTTCAAAATAAAACAGGCAATGAGAGACAAAGAGGGGCAGTATATAATAATAAAATGGACACTCCACCAAAAGGACATAACATTTATATATGCACCAAAAACAAGGGAGCACTGAAGTACATAAAGCAACTATTAACAAACCTAAAAGGAGATATTAACAACAACACAATAATAGTAGGGGACCTTAACACCCCACTTACAACAATGAATAGATCATCCAGACAGAAAGTGAGCAAGGAGATAGTGGAATTAAATGAAAAACTAGACCAGACGGACTTAATAGATATATAGAGGACACTCCATCCTAAAACAGCAGAATACACATTCTTCTCGAGTACAGATGAACATTGTCAAGGATAGACTGTATGTTGGGAAACAAGGCAAGCCTCATTAAATTTAAGACAACTGAAATCATATCAAGCATGTTTTCCAACCATAATGCTATGAACCAGAAATCAACTACAAGAAAAAAGACGGGAAAGTACCAAATATGTGGAGATGAAACAACATGCTACTTAACAACCAATGGATCAGCAAAGAAATTAAAGGAGAAATCAAAAAATATCAGAGACAAAGGAAAATGAAAATACACTAGACCAATTCAAATGGGATGCAGCAAAAGTGGCCTTAAAAGGGAAATTCAAAGTAATACAGGCCCAACTTAACAAGAAAAATCTCAAATAAGCAACCTTAAACCGCACCTAGTAGAATTAGAAAGCGAAGAACAAACAAGGCCCAAAGTCAGCAGAGGGAGGGAAATAATAAAAATAAGAGCAGAAATAAATGAAATTGAAACCAAAAACAACAGTAGAAAGGATCACTGAAACTAAGAGCTGGTTCTTTGAGAAGATAACCAAAATTGACAAATGCTTAGTCAGACTCACTAACAAAAAGAGAGAGAAGGCTCAAATAAATAAAATTAGTAATGAAAGAGGAGAAATTACAATGGATACTACAGAAATACAAAGGATTATAAGAGAATATGATGAAAAACTATATGCCAACACATTGGACAATCCAGAAAAAATGGATAAATTCTTAGACACATACAATCTCCCAAAAGTGAATCAAGAAGAAATAGGGACTCTGAAGAGACCAATCACAAGTAAAGACATTGAAATAGTAATCAAAAATCTATCAAAAAAAATATTGGAGAGGATTTTGAGAAAAGGGAACCCTCATACACTGCTGGTAGGAATGCAAACTGGTGCAGCCACTATGAAAACAATATGGAGACATATCAAAAAATTAAAAATAGAAATACCATACAACCTAGCTATCCTACAACTGGGTATTTGTCCAACAACTTGAAATCAACAATTCAAAGAGACCTATGCACCCCTATGTTTATTCCAGCATTATTCACAATAGCCAAGAAGTGGAAGCAACCCAAGTGCCCATCGACTAATGATTGGATAAAAGATATGACATATATATATATACAATGGACTACTACTCAGGCATAAAAAAAGACAAAATCGTCCCATTCACAACATCATGGATGGACCTTGAGGGTATTATGTTAAGCAAAATAAGCCAAACAGAGAAAGATGAACCTCATATGATTTCACTCATACATAGAAGAATACTAACACATAAACAAAGAGAAGAGATTAATGGTTCCCAGAGGGGAAGGGGGTTAGGGGGTGGGCATAGAGGGTAAAGGGGCACCTTTATATGGTGACTGACAAATAATAATGTACAACTGAAATTTTACAATTTTATAAACTATTATGACCTCAATAAAATTTTTTTAAGTTATATTTTTCTTGATTATTTCTATCTTTATATTTTATAATTATAATGTCAATAATAGTTCTGTAATTGTAATCACTAATAACAAAAGTAATGCTTGGGTTTTGTCATATCAATAAAATTTATTCCCAATACCAATAGTGCACGTTCTTTATCTTTTGGTTTTAAAGTTAGCATTGCACCAAAATATAGAATCAACAGAACTATAGAAGTCTTTACAATTTTCAGTTAATGAAATCATTGTGTGTCAAAGCCTTAGCAATAAGATGAATTCCCAAGACATCTTAAATCATCCCAAAAGTAAGAAACTAAAGGTAAATATTAAATGTTTGTCTTAGAAAAAGGAGGGGTTTTTTCTACCATATTGAAACCCAGCAACACTGTGTGACTGACAATTAATACAAAACTATAGACAATGCAAAACTGAATTTTTTGACTAGTATATAAAGGAATTACACTCTATAGCAAGAGTTGGCAAACTCTGGCCAGGTGCTTGCTTTCTAAAGATTTATGGAATGCAGCCAAGTCCATCTGTTTATGTATTGTCCACAGGAGGGGAGTAGTTGAGAACGAGATAGTATGGACTCCAATGCCTAAAACATTTACTATCTGTCCTTGATAGAAAAGGTTTGCTGAGCCCTGCTTTTCATGAATCTATACAAAGATACCCACACTTCAGAGACTAACAGATATTAGGGTTGCACTGCCATGAAAAGGGAGAAACACATTTGTAGTCCCATGTAGATATTCCCTCTCCCTACAAAGATAAACTATAGAAAAGACCAAGATTATTACGGAGTGAGATTCTGCTCTAGAGCCTAGATTGAGACACCAAAGATCTGCACTAGGGAGTAGATGAGCAAAAAATGAAATTACACAGCATAAATGATATTTTGTGTATTCCATATTTTTATGGTTTTTTCCTACAATGAACAGAAGGAATGACAATCCGATGGCACATTTTGCCATGAACAGTTTACAGAACCAATTTGACAATTAACAATATACCTAACAACATTAGATTTCTTGTATTATTCCTTCCAGATTTGATATCTATATACATTTATGTTTTTTAAAGTTCTTAGTAATTAAGTTACACAGTATTAAATTTCACTTTAATTATAACGGCTGCTTTCTCCTAGATCTGTAAACTTTATAATGTGCCTCTACTTATATTCTTTCTTTTTATCTATTTCCATAAAGGATCCTACTAAAAAAGGTTATCATGAATGTAGAATTTTGGAAAAAAGGACGAAAGATGTAAACACCAAAATAAACATGACAAAAATTACAAATTTGAGAACATCTTTACAACTTTATATAGTTATGCTCTGCAGTCAAAAGGCATAGATTGTAACACTACATCTGGAATACTTTAGAAAAACTCAAGTGATTCACAATGTGACCAACGACTTTTTCATGGTCCTAGGGATATACAATTGCCTAAATTGGGAGAAATTATGCAAACTTTTAATATCAGGAACTTTGCCAAAATTGTGTTATGAACACCTAGAAAATGATACTTTAAAACAACCCTTTTGAGAAAGTCAAGTACCTGGGAGATGATTTAGAACAATCTCTGACCACATTTGAGCCTGAAGATGTTGGTTCAATATCTTCATTTTGCCTTCTTAATTCTTTCTCTCTGTTCATTTCTTCTTCTTTTTCTCTTGCCTCTGAAAAGATTTTTAAAAATTTCCAACAGTTAGACTTCAAAATTTGTCAATAACAAAAAGGCTGAAAATTAATATAGTCACAAAGATGTAACTTAAGAGTGTTACCAATAACAGCAAAAAATTATCAACCTAAATGCCCAACACTGGGAAAATAATTACTGTGTATCAACATAATACAAAATACAGCTAATAAAAATAGTGATGGAAAATGTACAAATCTGGGAAAATATTAACAGATATGCTAAGCAAAATTAGCATGTAAATAGTACATGAACCACGACTGTACTATGTAAAAAGATGTGGAAGGTTGTAAGTAAAAAAGAAAGTATTCACAGGTAATATTTTAGGTAACTTCACTTTTTATTTTTAATGTTTTAAACCATAAATTCAGCACTTTGTTCATTTCTGAATTTCCCACACTGGATTTTTGGTCAGAGCCTTCTTACCAAAACCATGAGACTATTTCAATTAAGTACACTAGGTTTCTAGAGTCGTTTACCTTGGAAAGACACACACACACAAAATTTATCCAAGGAAATTTAACCTCGTTCCTCTGATAATATCACTGTACAATTGCGGGGCACAGGGGAAGGAAATGAATTATCTGAATAGTCTGGTTCTCAACTGCCACCATCCTCAGTAAATGGAGATAATCTTTAATGTTGTTTTCCTTAATTTAATAATGAAAAACAATACACTCAAAGTTAAGCAATATCAAAAGGCACTTATTAACTGGGATGCTGTACCCTTTAGGGTCTTTTGTTAATAGGATACGGAAGATGAAGAACAAGGAAATAACCAGCAAGTGTCAACAAGTAAACGCATAGTCTTTCTTTTCAAACATGGAAGGTAAAACACTCCAGAAGGATAAGGCAAATGCTACAGCTCTAGCTCAAGTTGATTTTTTTTGTGCTCTTCACTGGGCTAAGGTGGGTTAGGAGTCAACAACTCTGGCTCCGATCCTGGAGGAGGTTGAAAAAATAAAAAAGAGAGAAGGATAATGTCCAAATTTAAGAGTGGGCCTGCTTGGCTCCTAGCCTCCTCCTGCTTCTCCAGTCAATCCCTCCATACCCTCCTGGGTCAGCACGGAGGGAACCACACTTGGACTAGAGGCTAAGGTCTTAGAGGCAGTTTTGATGCTAATTAGAAATTGATAACAAAATACATATTATTAGCCACCTACCCAATAGCTGTTTCCTCCTTTTTTCCTTGCTAAGAAAACCACAATTTTCCCCAGGAAAGTGGCAGCCCTGTGCTTCAGGAGATCCTGGGCCCCTCCCTGCCCAGAAAGAGAGAAGCTTCATTCCAAGTCAAGCATATTGCTCTTGCCAATTGCTGTTTTTGGAACTGACGTGGCACACTAACGCTGGCCAATAAGACGTGAGAAGTCAGGTAGAGGTACATTCGAGAAAGGTTCTCTTACTCCTAAAAAGAGGTATATAAAATAGTCTCCTTTCAGCCTGTGCCTGTGGTCATCTGCCTGAACAAAATTTCACTGACAATTTTGGGTCATGAGGACAGTCAGCTTAGGACAAGCCAACACCCTAAAGCTGGCAAAGCAGAAAAAGGGGAAAAAACTTCATGTACTTCATGTCAGGACTCAGAAGATCGCAGAAGATCGAACAGCCCCATTCTGGAGTTCTTGTCAGGTGTGATACTAAATTTTTCTTATGTGAGCCATTTTTGATTAGGTCTTCTATGACTTCTTTGCAAGTAACAACCAAAAGCATCTTAACATCAATCTTAATTTAACAAAAATAATAGCAACTAATTCTTACAATGAGCTTACTATATACCAGGTATTATTTTAAGCAATTCCTGTAAATTAATTCCTTTAATCTTCCTAACAACCTCTGAAGTAGGTACTATTTTTTTTTCAGCTTTATTGAGGTATAATTGACAAAACTGTAAGATATTTAAAGTGTACAAGTGATGATTTGATACACATAGACATTGTGAAAGGATTCCCCCATGGAGTCAATGACACATCCATCACCCCACGTATTTAACCTTTTTTTTTTGGTGAGAACATTTAAGTTCTGCTCTCTTAGCAAACTTCAATTATCTAATACAGTTGAAATAGGAACTATTATCCTCACTCTACAGTTGAGGAATCTGAGACATAGAAAATTTAAGTAACAGAGCTAGTAAGTCCCAGAGTAGTGAATTCAAGGCTCCACAACTGGGTCTTTCCTTGATGTGACCAGACTTTCTAGACTGTAAAAGTATCCAACGAGCACCACCTACCTTATATAAGTGAGCCTGCCTCTCTCTCTAAATGGCTGTGAAGAACAGCTCTTTACTGCTTTCACCAGACTACCTGGAAACTGCGACCCACCCGCCCATCTAACTACAGTTCCTCACCAGTGAATAAATACTCCAAACTACTTGCCCCATCTAGTGAAGCATCTAATTTTGTAATTTAAAATTTTAACTTTTTTTGTTACACTAGCAAGGATTTTCTATTCAGAGAGGTTCCTGCTGTCACCCGCTGCATTAAAGCAGGAAAAAAAAAAAAAGAAAGACATTTTAGAGAAAAAAAAATTTTTTCTCATTGTTGACTGAGGTCAAAAGCAAAACAAAACAGAATTTAACAGACTGTAGCTCCCGGACAAAGGGACTGTTTTGTGCATTTTTACACAATGAGGAACCAAATACACTGTAAACACTACAAAAATGCTTTATATCTTCCCTTAACAAAAGTGAATTAACCTACTCTCCAATACCTCACTTTATTCTTCCAACCACCTCATTGTATTGTTCTCTACTTTCAAAGAGTTACCAATTTTGGATAGCCATTTCTGAAAAAGTACCCCACATATTTGTGACTTTTGTCTAGGTTAACAGCAAATGATCCAAAACTACCATGTCGCATCTGGGCCGATTCACACGAATTGCAGATGCAAATGAATGTAACTTGGCACCTGAAAATCTCAAAGCCAATCATCATAGCAACCACTTAACTTTAAGGAAGAAATGAGAGTTAAGATAGACAAAATGTAAAGGAAATAAAAGTACTAGAAATATAAGCTAGAATGTTTTCTAATCCTGATAACCTCTCTATTCATTGGACTTAAATCTTACTAAATGTTTTTGTTATTCTAACTTAAAACAATTCACCAGCCCACTAATTTCATGAAAATTTACATTCAGTTTTAAATGTTTAATGCCAAAACACTAGGAAATAAAAATAAGATGGGAACACTTTAACTACATAAGTTACATTTCTCCATTAAATATTTAGGGATGTAACTACTATGTACCAAGCTCTGTGTTAGGCACTGTAAGCATGAAAACGAAGAACAAGGTTCTTATCCTCAAGACATTAACATATTAAAATAGATTTATAATACTTTTTTATTGAAGTATAGTTGACATACAATATTATATTAGTTTCAGGTGTACAAGATAATGATTTGACATCATAGTATTTTTTAAACTGTTATGGGAACAAAGGTGGGAAACAATTATTACGTCCAGAGGGGTTTTGAAATAAATACCTAGAAAAGGCAAAATATGAATGAGGACTTAAAGGATGAGGTAGGAATTAACTAGGTAGGAAGGCTGTTTCAAGCAAAAAAAATTTAAGCTTTTCTAATTTCTAAGATCTCTGGGACAATTTTTCTTTTCAGGATCATTAAATCATCCACTGAAATCTTATTCAAATCCTATCTTAACCATTTTTTCAAGAAATATTTTTCCAGTCATATCAGAGAAGGTTCATAATCCACCCAAAGCATCATAACACCCAAAATGAGCATTTGAATAAAAGAAATTTTTCTTCCTCATTTATCTCCTCATAGTATAACAGTTCTAAAAAAAGGTCTATGTCTTTCATATGTCCTAAACATATTTAAAGCTTTCAGGAACAAAAAAATTAAAAAGCAATTTGTACCATTATTATTTCCTGACATTTTACATAATGCGTATTTTATTGAGGATTTATAGTAATTTATCCTTTCTACTAGAGCATTTAACAACCAAAATAGTTTACATCCACATACACAGACAATTAAATTTCCTATTAAAAGGACCAAAGTTCTTATTTTTCTCAAGTCTGATGTCAATGCCCAGGGAAGGAATCCAACACCAATTATGAGATAAATAATGCCCATCTCAGAATTTTTGAACTTTTCTTAAAAGAAGTCAAACTTTGGATTCATGTGTTTAGATCAGGGGTAGAAACAGCAGTCCAAGTGCAAGGATGTACTAGGAAAACAAAATTCAATACATTTCATTCATCCACAAACATCACAGAAGAACATGGCCTTTAGATAATTTTTCAAAATTTTAAAAATCTATTAAATCTTCACTGAAATTCCTCTTAGGTGCTAAATGCATACATGTTTTACCAAGAAAAACAACAGGAATTAAAAGTGATATTTATAAAGTATCTTTAAAAGGTGATATGCTCAATATCTCAGTCCCTTCAAGAACCTTGTAAGGGAGATCTTATTACCATTTCCACCTAACAGATGGGGAAATTAAGGATCTGAAGTTTGAAAATCCATCCAATGTTACTCATCTGGCAGAACATGGGGCTGACCCTCAAATCCAGGTCCTCCCACTCCAAACCTCAAGCTCTTTACAATGGATCACGCCATTTTAAAACATTCTCCAAAGAAGCAGAATTTTATTTTTTGAAAGGCAGTATCACAGTTCTAAACTCAATTCAATAGTCTCAAATATATATTGAGAACCTATCTTGCAAGGCTGGGGACTATAAAACTTAGGAGAATAAGACAATCCCTGTTCAAACCAGTTTGTATCAGAGGCTGAAAGAGGTAACTACAAGAAAGCCATACTACAATAAACATTGATTAAAATGTCTAAAAATTAAGTGGTTGAAGTATCTGTAAATACCCCTCAGATATCATGTCTTTGTATCTTGTTTCATATTAAATTATTTAATATTTTTAGGAGTGGTAATGGTATTTTGGTTAAGTTTTTTAAAAGGATCCTTGTCTCTTAAAGACACATACTAAAATATTTACAGGTGTGGGGCCGGCCCGGTGGCGCAGCAGTCAAGTGCAAGTGCACATGTTCCGCTTCTCAGCGACCCGAGGTTCACCGGTTCAGATCCCAGGTGCGGACATGGCACCACCTGGCAAAAAGCCATGCTGTGGTAGGCGTCCCACATATAAAGTAGAGGAAGATGGGCACAGATGTTAGCTCAGGGCCAGGCTTCCTCAGCAAAAAGAGGAGGACTGGCAGTAGGTAGCTCAGGGCTAAACTTCCTCAAAAAAAAAACGATAAAATAAAATAAAATATTTATGGGTGAAATAATGTGTCTAGGATTTGTGTCAAAGTAATCTAAGACGGAAAGTGAATGGAAATAACACTAGCTACAAATTGTCATAGTAATTAAATCTGTGTGACAGACACATGTGAGCTCACTACAGTACTTTCGTATGTGTTCGAAATTTCACACAATGATGAAAGTTTTTTAAAAGATAGTATACATAGACAGCTGTCTTTTCACCACAAAAAAAGAAACCTGTTATTCTTCTAAAGACCAAAATATTTCATGTCAAGCTCACTTCCCAAATATTAGCTATTACTGCTATATAATTTATCATTTTAAATCCAACAATAGCATGTACCAGAGAACAACGTTCACTTAAATTTTTCCAGGAGTCCTGTCTCTGATTTCTAGCCCCTTCTGTTCCATCACATTACATCTTTCCTTTCTCTAGTGTAAGAATGATCTGAATCAGATCCAAAGAAAGCAGTAGAGGAGTCAGTCTCCTTCGAAGACCCTAAGGTGGTACCTAGAATTGCCAACCACCTGGTATCAAACCAGACAGTCTGGAAATTAAGGCCTTCATTAAATGTCTGATACAACTCATTAATGCAGGGATTCAACAGCAGCAGCCACATTCACTGTATGTCTCAATTTTCTATACTGTCTGGGTCAACAGTCAGTGGTGTACACAGCTCTGAGAACCACCTCTCGCCCAGCCTTCCAAATACTGGTTTCGCTGTAAGCAGGAAAGAAAAACATGAAATGAGAATCAGAAAGAGGCAGGAGGAGAGGTAATAAAGAAACTGCTATTCTGATTCTTATAAATTAATTTAGAATCCTCCTTTATTCATAGCACACACTTCTAAGAGATTTTAGCACCCAGATCTTCTTATTTTATTTGGATGTAACTTTTCACCATGTTTAAAAAAAATAACCTCTGGGGCCTGCCCTGTCATGTAATGGGTAAGTCCACATGCTCCATTCCGGTGGCCCGGGTTCACAGGTTTGGATCCTGGGCACAGACCCACACCACTCATCAGCCATGCCTTGGTGGTGACCCACATACAAAAATGGAGGAAGACTCATACAGATGTTAGCTCAGGGTTAACCCTCCTCAAGCAAAAAAGGAGGAAGATTGGCAACAGATGTTAGCTGAGAGTGAATCATCCTCACCAAAAAATAATAATAAATAAATAAATAAATAAATAACCTCTGCTCCCAAAGGAACTAGCAAATATGGCCTTTGAAATTTTTTTCAGTCTTATAATAACTGTCAACATACTTGTGTAAGGTGTATACAGCATTTAAATCAATAAAAGAGCAGATAACTGAACTTCTTACCCAGAGTTTTCCGACTTCTTTCCACAGCTGTTCTCCGAGTTTGTTCAAACATTGCTTCCAAATCAAATGTGCGAGCTTTTTTCCCTAAAACAGGAATAAGTAACAGGCTGTGATCTTCTTGCCCTAAGCTGGCCAGAGTGTAAGTAGTCAATAAATGCTTTCTGATTGACCAATAACCACTTAGTCTGTGTATTTACAGCATGGCTACATGATAACCATAAAATATCAAGAAAGAAAGAGCTTTCTTCCCAGGGAATTTTTCACGACAATCTCATCACTAAGTACCACTAACCAGCCAACTTTTCCATCCTTCTCTAAATCATCTAGACTCTACCCCTTAAAACTACAACACTGGTGTGGCAGGCAGAATGAAGAACGATTATACCCTAATCTCTGGAACCTGTGTATATGTTACATTACATGGCAAAAGGGACTCTGCAGATGTAATTAAGATTATAGACTTTAATCACACAAGTCCTTACAAGCAAAGATAAAGAAGAGATACGGCAGAAGTGAGAGAGATCTGAAGTGTGATAAGGACTGGAGACACTGCAGTTTTAAGATGAAGGGGCAAGATGCAAGTAATGCAGGTACCTTAAGAAGCAGCAGCTAAGAGACTCGCACCTGACAGCCAGTAAAGAAACAGGGGCCTCAGCCTTAAAACCACAAGGAATCAAATTCTGACAAGAACCTGAATGAGCTTGGAAGGAATGTTGTACGTGCTTTTTTCAATACTAATACCTACTCCATGTTACTAAGAGTACAGTAAAAGTAGTACTCTATTTACATAATATTGACTTTGATATAAATCGAAACAGCTTTTCTGAAGGGCATTATGACAATATGTATCAAGAAGTTTTAAAAGATATATACCCAACTTTTTGGTTACTTTTTAACATTTACATTCTTTATAAGCAATTCCTCCTTTAAAAATCTACCCTATGGAAATATGCATAAAATCTCTTTTATGAAAGGAGATAAAAGAGTTATTTACAAAAATGTTCATTTTGGCATTAGTGATAAAAGTTAGAATTAGAGGGCCAGACCCATGGCTGAGCAGTTAAAGTTCTGCACGCTCCACTTCAGCAGTCCAGGTTCACAGGTTTGGATCCTGGGTGCAGACCTACTCCACTCATCAGCCATGCTGAGGAGGCATCCCACATACAAAACAGAGGTAGAATGGCACAGATGTTAGCTCAGGGCCATTCTTCTTCAAGCAAAAAAAAAAAAAGAGAATTGGTTGGGGGCCGGCCCCATGGTCGAGTGGTTAAGTTCCTGTGCTCCACTTCAGTGGCCCAGTGTGTCGATGGTTCGGATCCTGGACGCAGACATAGCATTAATCATCAAGCTATGCTGAGGTGGCGTCCTACATGCCCAACCAGAAGGACCCACAACTAAAAATATACAACTATGTACTGGGGGGCTTTAGGGAGAAAAAGGAAAAATAAAATCTTTTCCAAAAAAAAAAGAGAGAGAAAGAATTGGCAACAGATGTTAGCTCCAGGCGAATCTTCCTCACAAAAAGAAAAAAGAAAAGAATTAGAAACTACATAGGGGAAAGTTAAAAGTATTACAAACTATGGCATTTCTATTAAATAGGCTACCACTCGGCCATTAAAAATCATGTTTTGGAAGAACATTTTATAATACCGGAGAATGCTCAAAATATTAAGGACAAATTATATATAAGAGAAATATAAAACCGTATACACAAATGATCTTAATTTTCTTAATAAATACACAACAGAAAAGACTGGAAAACAAATTAACAAGTCTTGATTTCTAGATCATGAGATTATGAATGAGTTTGCTTTCTTCCTTTTCATTTATTGTGTTGTTTAGATTTTCTCCTATGAAAATGTGTTACTTTTGAAATTAGGGCAAAAGCTATTTTAAAGAACTGAAACAAAGTAAGTACCACAGTATGTACTACAAAGGTCTATAGTACTTTTGTAGTCATGACCACTTAGGAAATAGTAAACATGTGGCTCAAGACATTACCAGAATAAGCGAATATATGAACAAACTAACAAGAGACCTGCCTCATTAGCCTAACATTTGTTCTCTCCAAGATCCAACAGAAATGGGGTGAGAAAACAATTTACATTTGTTTTTTTACTGAGAGCAATGTTTTCAACAGATGACTACATCTCTGTTCGAGGCCTTTATCTTGATCGCATAACTTGCCGTGACTAGGCTCTACAGAGAGACTGAAGTGAAGATTCTGGGGAAGAAGCGTTTAATAACCACTATAACATCACTTAATGGCCCATTTGTTGCCAGAAGGGCCACCTCATTATAGACCGCAATCGGTGGTTAGCTCTGTCTCAGGACGCAAAGTGAAAACTCCCTCTCCCAACCAACACCCTCCACCGCGTGGGTCACAAAGCAATTTTTCTTTCCCACAAGGCTTCCATAAGTGTCACCTGAGCCGATCCCATAGATAGGCAGGAGTCAGAAGACGAATGGGGAAAAGAGCGTCGAGAAATTGCAAGACAGATGCTAAAGTAATTAGGCCTGGCTCTGCGGCAGGTGCGGAACAGAGGCGACAGCTCGGCCTCCCCTCCCAACCTGTGGCTCTAAAAACCTCTGCAAAAGGAGACGGGGCAGTCACTCACCGAACCCTGTGAAGCCCATGGTGACCGCCAGCTGCGGGTCCGGTCCCGACGCGTCTGAGCCTGTCACTGGGGCAAAAGCAGAAAAGAAAGGTAGCCTCGTTACTGCGGCGCCCCCGGCCCAGCCCACCCCGTCCGGGCTCGCCCCACCGGACCCACCTTCGCTGGGCCCCGGGCGCTCCATGGCAGCCGTCCTGCGCAGAAACAGCACAGCCACAGCGCAAACAGCAGCCGAGGCGCCGCGGCAAACCCAGCAGGAAGTATCGCCTGCGAGCGGCAGCGTCGCCGCCCGGGCCAAGAGCGGCACCTTCCGCGGAGGGCCCGCGGCCTGCTGAGCAGCGCCGCCCTAGCGGGCTGGCGGGGCATGAGCGCCGCCGACGCTGCCTCCTAACTCAACCTGCTGGATGGGAACATTGTCTGGAGTTTCCCCAAGGCTCTTTACCTTTTAAGACGCGTTTATGGCCAAGGTGACACTTAATCCTCTCAGAGTTCTAAAGAGAAGCCAACAAACTCCCTTTCTTTGCTTGTTGTCCTTCAGTATAAGGAAACTTCCACAGTTCTCCATCTTTTGAATATATTTTGAGGAAGAAACCAGTATCTAACACATGACTGAAAAGCACTCAGAAGCCATAAAGACCTGAGTAGGTAAGAGTTGTCAGAAAATGCTCTAAAGCTCATATTCTTACCCCAAGCCTCCCTCTATTAGCTATGCTTGGTTATAGAGTTTCCCAGACCACAGCAAGGGTTCCCAAAGCACTTAATTCACGTATTTCTTATATTTTCACTTCATATTGCTTTTAACGACTCCTTAGCTATGCTATGAACTAATGGCATATTATTTATCTTTATATTTCTGAATTCTAGCAAAACACTGTATAGACCTAATAAACGTTGCTGAATGAAAATATTTTCATAAAGATACTATCGGCCCCACCACTACCTTAATCTCCTATCTCAAATTATGCTTTATCTATACACTCTAAATGATAATTATCAAGTCTAATATCATTTCCATTGCTCTTAGAATAAAATACAAAATTATTAACATGGCCTGCAAAGCCTTTCCAACTTCATTTTTTTCTATTTTCTACCACGCCAGTCTTCTTCCAGCTCTATAAGCACCCTCAGAACATGATGTCCTCAAAGCTGACTCTTCACCAACCCCATGCCCTTCATTTAACTCTAGTCATCCTTAAGTTCTCAAATTAAACGTCAATGCTCTTGTAAGCATTTACAGACCTTTATAGACCTCCAACCAAGTTAGGCCCCTCTATCTATCAGGTCATTTAGTATCCTTCCTTCATAGCACAGTGCCTATGTGGGCACTCAGTATTTGTTAAATGAATGAATAAGAAAAACAAAAGCAGTTGTGAAGGCAAAAGCTACTCCTCTTATATGCAGGATGTTATATAACTTGGGACAACAAAGTTTGGTCTCATCCAGAGATTACTGAACAGCAAAAGTCAAAAGTCAATGTGAACTCCAATCAATAAGGCTAGTTCATTGTACCTTTAACAAAATAAGTTATTAATGCGACTGTCTCTTTTCTGAGTACAGATAAGCAGACCTCAGGTAGTAGAATAGAACTTTATGAATACAGCTCATTATGTAACCAATGCCCCAAGCTTATAAATAGCTATTTCAGTTCCTCAGGAGTCAAGGACTTGTGGGTGAGAGCCTCAGATGACACATTTTTTTTTTCTTTTAATAATTTAAATTTTTTAGAGCAGATTAAAGTTCACAGAAAAATTGAGGGGAAGGTTCAGATTTCCTATATATTCCTTGCACGCACACACACATAGCCTATCCTTTTACTAACATCTCCCACTAGAGTGGTACACTTGTTACAAGTGATGAACCTACAGTGACACATCATAATCACCCAAAGTCCATAGTTCATATATGATTCACTCATGGTGTTGTACATTCTATGGGTTAGGACAAATTATAATGACACGCTTCCATTATGGTATCATACAGAGTATTTTCACTGCTCTAAAACTCCTGTGCTTTGCCTGTTCATCCCTCCTTCTCCTCTCCCCCAACCCCTGCCAACCACTGGTATTTTTATTGTCTCTACAGTTTTGCTTTTCCCAGAATGTCATATAATTGGAATCATACAGTATGTAGCCTTTTCAGATTGGCTTCTCTCAGTAATATACATTTAAGTTTCCTCCATGTCTTTTCATGACTTAATAGCTCATTTCTTTTTAGCGCTGAAAAATATTCCATTGTCTGGATGTACCACAGTTTACTTATTCATTCACCTACTGAAGGACATCCTGGTTGCCTCCAAGTTTTAGCAATTTTTAATAAAGCTGCTACAAACATCTATGTGCAGGTTTTTGTGTGGATATAAGTTTTCAACTCATTTGGGCAAATATCAAGGAGCACAATTGCTGGATCATATGGTAAGAATATGTTTAGTTTTGTAAGAAACTGCCAAACTGTCTTCCGGAGTGACTGCACCATTTTGCATTCCCATTAGCAATGAATGAGAGTTCCTATTCCCCCACATCCTCACTAGCATTTGGTGTTGTCAGTGTTCCAGATTTTGGCCCTTCTAATAGGTATGTAAACGGTATCTCGTTGTTTTAATTTGCCTTTTCCTGATGATAAATGATGTGGAACTTTTCACATGCTTAATTGCCATCTGTATATCTTCTTTGGTGAAGTGTCTGTTAAGGTCTCTGCCCCATTTTTTTAACTTTGTGCGTGAGGAAGATTGTCACTAACATGTTGCCAATCTTCCTCTATTTTATATGTGGGACAACACCACAGCATGGTTTGATGAGTGGTACGTAGGTCCGTGCATGGGATCCAAAGCCGCGAATCCTGGGCCGCTGAAGTGGAGCACGCAAACTTAACCACTACAGCACCAGGCCAGCCCTTTTGGCCAATTTTTTAATCAGATTGTCTGTTTTCTTATTGTTGAGTTTTAAGACTTCTTTGTATATTTTGGATTACAGTCCTTTATCAGATGTGTCTTTTGCAAATATTTTCTCCCAGTCTGTGGCTTGTCTTCTCATTCTCTTGACGCTGTCTTTTGCAGAGCAGAAGTTTTTAATTCTAATGAAGTCCAGCTTATCAACTATTTCTTTCATGGATCATGCCTTTGCTGTTGTATCTAAAAAGTCATCGCCCTACCCAACTCATCTAGATTTTCTCCTGTGTTATCTTCTGGGAATTTTACAGTTTTGTGTTTTACATTTAGGTCTGTGATCTATTTTGAGTTAATTTTTGTGAAGGGTGTAAGGTCTGTGTCCAGATTCATTTTTTTGCATATGGATGTCCAGTTGTTCTAGCACCATTTGTTGAGAAGATTTCATTGTAGATACATAAATTTCTAAACTACAAAGTACTTGAGATAAAAAAGGAAAGTAGATATCATCAACCAGTGGAAGTAGATAATCATGATCATTACAGAAAATTCACAGGAAGATGTATTTGCTTTTGCTAAAAGATAGAGTCAATAATTGCACTAGTGGAGGCTTCTACATTAATCTCTTTTTTTTTCTGGTTTTGTTTGCATGAAACATCTTCATAATAAAGTTGTTAAGTGTGCCAGGGCAACTTTGATTTTCTTGAAGCAAACCAAGTGAATTTATTCATAAATCAAATATTTGAGGGGCAGGATAGCGTCTTCATGTGCTTCAAATTCCTCATCTGTTAAGTGGATAATCTAATAATAGCAACTATCTGCTCATAGGTTTTTCTGGTGATTGAATGAGTTAATTCTCATAAAGCAATTAGAATAGTGCCTGGCATATATTACACACTCAATAAATGCTGGCCATTATTAAGTGCCAGATGCTAGTAAGAGTGGTGAAGACACTGCCCTCACAGAATTTCCATTCTAATGAAGAGACTTTTTAAAACCTTAAATACCTAAGTGGGCTACAGAGTTGACTTAAATCAGAAACATAGGAAGCTACTTGAACAGTAGTTCTCAAATGTCTTCTGCAGACTCCTTTAACAGTGTCCATGAGATTGAAACTATTTTCATTATAGTAGTAAGACATCATTTGCCTTTTTCATTCTATTGGCATTTGCACTGATAATGCAAAAGCAATGATGGGTAAAACAGCTAGTGCCTCAACATAAATCAAGGCAATGACAAGCAAACTGTTGTAGTCACTGCATTCTTCACTGTTACATACCCCTTGTAAACAAAACTAGTTTCCCTTTAAAACGTCCATAATAAAGCCATAACATTATTAATTTTATTAAATCTTGACTGGAGTATTTAACTTTCGAATACACTGTGTGACAAAATGAGAAGTACTCACAAAGCACTTCTGATGCATATCAAAGTATGATGATTCTCTCAAAAAAAACCTTATTTGTGCAATTGACTTGTTAGCTTTTTCAAGAAACACCATTTTTACTTAAAAGTATGACTCACAAAATACATTCAGACTTAAGAATTTGCCAGACATTTTCTCAATAATGAATTAAATGAGTTTGTCACTTCAAGGAAAACAACTCGCTGTACTTGTTGCTAATGGAAATCAGACCTTTCAGAGAAAATTAGAATCTTGAAAAACTTGAACCAACCACCATAAGCTTGACGGCTTCCCAATACTTAAAAGATTTTTCTGATAAGATAGGTAGTGATATTAACGTGATCTTTTTTCATATTGGTTAATGAGATCTATCAACATTTGGAAGTTCTGCATAACTCAGAGAACCAGTATTTCCCAAATGACCAACACACAATGTTACAGAATCATGCATAGATAAAAGATGCATTCAAAGTACAAGACAGACCCGTGGATTTTAATTTAGCAAAGTTCAAAAAACTTTACTGATGGTTTCAAATTCCACATCACAACTAAGCTTTAAGAAACTACCATTTATCAAGTTTTGGCACTACCAGAGGAGAATATTCACGAGTGTCTAAAAAGGTTATTAAAATACTTCTCCCTTTTCCAACTACATCACTGTGTGAGGTCTGCTTTTCTTTATATACCTCAACTAAACAACATATCACAACATATTGATAGCAGATGCGGATATGAGAATCTAGCTATCTCTTATTAAGCCAGATGTTTAAGAGATTTGCAAAAATGTAAAATAGTGCCATTCTTCTCACTAATGTTTTAGTATTGGAAAGTATGGCAATTTTTCATAAAATGTGTTATTTATATTAACAAGGATTAGGCTTATTATTCTTTAAACTACTTTTTAAACTCATTTTTATGAGATATTAGCAATTATTGACAACTATAACTTACACAAAACAAAAACTCTTTGGATTTCTTAATCTTTAAGGGTATCAAGAGTTCCTGAGATCAAAATGTTTTAGAATCGCTGTTCTAGAGAAGACTTCAGCAAACTTTTCCTGTAAAGGGGTATATGGTAAATATTTTAGGTTTGATGCCACGTGGCCTGTGTAGCAACTACTCAACTCAGCAGTTGTAGCTGGAAAGTAGCCATAGGCAATATGAAAAGCCCCCCAGGAATGCTGCTGCTGTGCAGGAATATTAGAACAGTATCGCTAGATTATCCAATTTGTGGAGTTGAAAACTCTCAATTGTATATTTTGTCTCAAATTAAAAACGAACTTAACACTGTACCAGACCATCAGTTTTCAACCTGGGGTGTACCAAATAAAGAAAATTGACAGCTGGAGACCCATCTGCCTATTTATCTACCAATAACACAAATCTAATTTTTCCTGGTATATTTGCTATGAGGTCTTAAATTATATGTATAGATCTGTAATGTCACAGAACTTTAATAGTCAGAAATTTAGTCAACCACTTATTTGAGGGAGTAACAAGTAATTCGAGTAGAAAAGACCAATTATAGTATTCTGTATTGACTTGCTAAACTGTGAATAATGTAACCGGATGAAGCTTACTTAGGTTAAATTTTAAATAAGGACTAATTCTAATAATTCTAAATAAAGTCTGCTGTTTGAAGGCTTTGATTTATCCACTCAAGTCGCTTTCTGTATGAAATGAAGCCTTATCTTAGCTCTCCTTGCTCATTTCTCTTATCCTTCTACTGTAGTTAATATACAGCCCGCAGAAAAATCATGGTGATGCACTCTAATGCTTTGCTTGTGTGTCTCTGCACGAAGCACCTTAAGGACAAGAATGTTTAATCAGTTTGATATTCCCGGCACCAAACACGGTGCCTGACATAACTAAAGAATTCGGTTTCTGTAGAAGGTCTGGGTGATCATTGGGTGGCCTACTTTATACTGGTCCCTCTATCATGTGCCGGAGATGAAAAGATGAATTAGAATCCTCTGCTTCCTCTCTGTAATGGGAAACAAAGCAAGCTAGCAGCCCCCTGCACGCAGCGAACGATTCCGTAAACACAAAATTATTCACGGTAACGGACCACAAAGTCAACCGGTAGCGATACACAAATAGAAAAGCCTGATGAATTTTCATTCACACTGAAGCTCACTGTAGCGAAATTCTGGTTCATATGCAAACTGTTTGTCACAACAAACTACCAACTCCTATCTACTTGCAGAAGAGAAGTTATTTGGACACCAAAGAAACTGACGCGCATGCTCTTAAATAG